CGCCTGCGGCAGCGAGCTCTTGCGATGAACCACACCACCGACGCTTCCCTCGTTCCCGGCGCCCACGCGGTTTTAATGGAGAACATCGAACCCCCAAAGCAGAGCCGAGGCTGCCAGGGAAACGTTGGGCCATGTCCTGGGCCCCTGTGAAGTGCCCGGTTCTCCCGGCAGGGTTGGGGACGCAGACCCTCGAGCCCGGCGGCACTGGAGGGCAGGAGGGGCAGGCAGCGGCATGGAGAGCAGCGCCAGCAGGCAGGGAAGGGTTCGGGTGCTTTCCCATCCCAGCGTCTCGTCCTTTCTGGTGGGGGCAGCGAAGCCTCCTCCTGCAGCCAGGGGCTCTGGCAAGGGATGAGCTGCAGCAGCTCAGTCCAGTGAGGAAAAGAGGACCAAGCCATGGCGCTCTGTCTGCATGGGCCTGGAGAGGGGTCCCATGGGAAGGGTCCCACAGCCCCAGGAGGTGGCCTGGGAATAGTCCTCTTCTGAGCAGACCTTGCGCTAGAAGAACTGGCCGTGGGTGCTGGAGCAGTACTCTGAGTAGTCAAACTCCTTGACGGTGAACGTCACAGCGCTCCACTTCTTGTACCTCCTTTTCTCCGCTGGCGTCTCCACGACAAAGTTTTTGATGCAGAGGATGGGCAGCTTCACCTGCCGGTAGATCATCTCCATTCCCCAGTCCTGTGTGGGCAGGGAGGGGACAGTCATGCAGCCCGCAGCACAGCGCCCCTGGGCTGCAGGGCCACATGCACCTGGGACGGAGGCAGCTCCTTGCTCCCGGGGTACGTCCCCCTTTGGGGACAGCTGCCCGTGTCCACGTCCCGCACGCGCAGCACACGCACCGCACGGGCACGTGCTGCAGGGCGACAGAGCTCCATCCCTCAGCCAGGAGCTGAGGCACAAGGCACGGCCCCTCCTGCCCCCGTGACACCGACCGGGCTGCAGGCACGGGGCGGTGGGATCGCTGCACTCACCTGGCTGCACTCGCTGCACGCGATGCGGCAGCCGGGCTCCCAGTCCTTGAAAGTCCGCTGGAACTCTATTTTCCCAGAGGAAACTCTATAATACAATCTGCAAGGAAGGGACACTCTAAGGGACAGAGACGGGCCAGCACGCGTGGTCCCATAGCCACACAGTCCCACAAAGCTCCCGTGGCCTCCCCAGATCCGTGTCCCCAAGAAAGAGCTGGCAGCAGGCTGCTGCCACCCCTGCCCGCCCCGGGTGACACCGGACAGCTGGGCTCTGCCCGCTCGCCCCTGCCGGCGCCCCGCTCCTACCCGAAGGTGGGGTTGACGTTGACATGGTGCATGCCCTCCACCGTGCGGATGTCGCTGCCGCGGCACACCGCTGTGTTGCAGTTGACGCAGTAGAGGTAAACGGCGTCCGGGTCGTGCAGCTGCCGCCTCTCGCTGATCCTGGCCTCCTTCATCAGCCAGCTGGCAACAGCACCTCGCTGCAGCTCCGCGATCTGCAGAGGGCAGGGGGAGGCAGGACAGCGGGGAGGGCCGGGGTCAGCGCAGGGAGACGGCCAAC